AATAGAATAATTGATAAATAATTTTTTTAAATATTTTTTAAAAAATAACTCCCAAGAATCAATTCTAAGAATACAAAGTTGAGTTGGGTTAGGTTGGCTATTCGAGTTATTTAGGTATCAACTCAACCAACCTGAATTTCGAGTTGGTTTAAAAGGTTTTCTAAACCTTAACCCGTGTAAACCCCTACATAGCGAATATTTGAATTCAAATAGCTAATAAGATAAAATATTTTTACCCATGGTAAGAAATTTTTTAATTTTTTTAAAATCTAAAATTGTTAATAATACATTTTTTAAATTAGGTATTAATTTTATTTTTAGGAAGGTAAAAAAATATTTCTGAAATTAATAGAAAAAATATTTTTTAATATTTTTGAAAATTGAAAAGTATATGGAAACTTTTGAAAACTTAAAAATATTTTTATTAATTTAGCGTTTATTTAATGAAATTAAATTTGTAATTTACAGTAATTTATGTCTTAAAAGACACGTGTTAAAATATCTCTGAATTTCTAAATATGCACGTGCCTTATTCCAGTAATTTGTTTTGACCGTCAGTAAATAATAATACAGTTCTTTCTATCCATCGAAAAGACGACACCTGAGTTATTGACTCAGTACGCAATTTCACGATTTATTCACTCTCAAGATTTTCCGGATCCCAAAAAGAATGGCGGAGCCGTACGAGTCCGATGATCGGAATGGCACCGTGCCTGTGCCGGTCGAGGTAGAATATGCAACAAGTCACAAATCCAAAGGAATGCGTAGTGAGGATCAGGCCGTTTATGTACCTGTCCGCCGTCTGATCGCCGAGATTTTCTTCCCCGATGAAACTACGGGTTCTTTTTCTCAACGCGTCAAGGCCTCCGTCGCCGTGAATGGCCCTGCCGTTGGACAAGCTTGCAGAAACTTTGGTCACGATATTCTTTGTTGGACTCGCAGGGGCAGTCCTCTTCGAGCGCTCCTTGTTATCTCCGTGAGTATTACTGATAATTCCAAAATGGAGGTTGTCTGGACTTGTTTTTTTTTTTTTTTTTTTTTTTTTTTTTTTTTTTTTTTTTTTTTTTTTTTTTTT